TTTGGCTTCCCTGCAAATGTCCGGGTCCTCGAACACTCTGCACTTCATTTGGGAGAAAGCTGAACTCACAGAGCTCAGGCAGTGCTGGATTTCGGCATCAATGTTGGCCCTTGTGGAAATATAACTGCCCAGATAGGATAAGTGATTGACACTTTCCAACGTTATACCATTGAGTTGGATTTGTGGTGCTGCAGAGGGGTTATTTTGTACTTGTTGGTGCAGCACTTTGGTTTTTTTGGATGTTGAGCGACAGGCCAAGATTTAGCGAACATATTTAGGATGGTTTGGAGGTCATCCTCTGAGCATGCACACACTACGTTGTCATCAGCATACTGAAACTCTATGACGGAAGTTATGGTAACCTCGCTCTTTGCTTTCAGCCTGCTCAGATTGAAGAGCTTTCCATCTGTTCGATATATGATTTCTACCCCAGTGGGGAGTTTCCCTTCGACAAAGTGTAGGATCATGGCAATGAAAATAATGAGTAGAGTTGGGGCAATAACACAACCCTGTTTAACACCTGATCCCACTGTGAATGGTTCACTTTGAGAGCCATTGTTATCTGCGATTGTTATCATGGAGGAGCCGAATGATGTTTATAAATTTATCTGGGCAGCCAGTTTTCAGAAGGACAGTCCGCAGGGCATTACGATTTACAGTGTCGAAAGCCTTAGTCAGGTCAATAAACGCCATATACAGGGGTTGGTTTTGCTCTCTGCATTTTTCCTGAAGCTGTTGAGCAGTGAAAATCATGTCCACTGTCCCCCTAGAAGGCTGAAAACCATTTTGGGATTCAGGAAGGGTCACCTCGGATATTGTTAAGTTTTGCTAAGATCCTTGTCTAGCTCCTTCCCTTTGACCTTACCGCCTTGGGTGACCCTGCTGGAAGTATGAGATTCCCGATGGCTTTGCTCACAAGGGTCATAGGAACGTGCAAGCCCACTCACCACAACAAGGTGATGATCCAGTGAGTGAAGGTTGTCAGAGCATAGCCACTGTGGCTAGTAGCCATTAGTAGCCTTCTCTGCAAGAGAGGTTGAGAAGTAGGGTGCCCATTTTGCAGATGGTAATCCTCTGCTTAAGGCACTGTCCGGCCCAAGCTGTGCACATGCCAGACATTTAAAACACATGATTTCCCTCAAAGAAACTTGAGAACTGTGGTATTCTAAGGGTGCTGTGAATCTAATCCTGGGAGGGCAAAATTATGGTTCTTTGGGGGAAGCCATGTGGTTTAAATGTGTGGTGCTTATGCAGCCCAATGTCTACTTTTAAAAATGAGAACATAAGAAGAACCTTCTGGATCAGGCCAGTGGCTCATCTAGCCCAGCATCATGTCCCTACAGTGGCTGACCAGATACCTGTGGGAGACCTGCAATCAGGATCAGAGCATAACAGCACCCAGTCCCTTGAATTGCCTCTGTAACATATTTGAGAGCTGGTTCATCCACTGAGCACTGGTGTAGCGTGACCCTTCCTCACTGCAACCCAAGGCTTGGTGACTTCAAAAGCAGGGAGGAAGAGAATGTAACTTTGGGGCCTTCAATCCCTTCTTCTGATGAGAACCAGAAATCACGGGCCCCTCAGGGGCAAATTGGAGATACACAGGCGCACACTTCTGCATCTTCCTTCTCTCCTTCCTCACCACCTCCTCAGATTCCCTCGGCAGTTTAGAAGATGGAACTTTTTATCCAGATGGTTAGGAAACCGGAAACCCACCCACTCACCATCCCGCCTTGCAGGGGCGTATCAAGTGACTGCCCCATAATCTCTGGCACAGGAGGGATTTCCATCATCTTCTACCCACTCTAGGATCTGCATGTGTGTGTGTGTTTGCACATTCACAGAGTGTGGCCAAAAGCTCGTTTTCTGGAGTGTTGGAGATGCTCTTAGTTTTCCTGAGATGGGCTGGTGGTTATGATCTTGACAAGTGGAAAGTGATGAATGTTGGGGGGACATATATATCTATATCTATCTATCTATCTATCTATCTATCTATCTATCTATCTATCATCTATCATCTATCTATCTATCTATCTATCTATCTATATCTATCTATCTATCTATCATCTATATATCTCCTTGGGGTCTGAACTGGAGCTGGTAGACCAGGAGTGAGACCTTGGGGTTCTAGTAAATAGCTTGATTTTTAGGTTGTTCATAAAACATCTACAGTTGGAGTGAACAGTGAGGTGGCCAAGATTTCTGACGTTACTAAACTTTTTAGGGTTGTTAAAACAAAAAGAGATTGAGAGCTGTAAAAGGACTCCAAACTGTGTGAATGGACGGTTAAAAGGGAAACACAATTGAATGTAAAGTGTAAAGTGATGTATGTTGGGGCAAAAAATACTTTATTTCACATATACACGGATGGGGGCTGACCTGGAAGTGACTGACCAGGAACAAGACCTTGGCCAGGGATAGTAGATAGCTCACTAAAGATGTCAGCCCAGTGTGTGGCAACTGTGGAAAAGCCAAACTCCATGCTGAGATCATTAGGAAAGGAATTGAAAATAAAACTTCCAGTATCATATTGCCATTACACAAATCCATGTTGTGGACATATTTGGAATACTGTGTACAGTTCTAGTCTCCTCACCTCAAAAAGGAGATTGCAGAGTTGGAAAAGGTTCAAGTGGTTTGAGTGAATTCCCTATGAAGAAAAGTTGGAACGTTTGGGGCTTTTGTTTAGAGAAAAGGCGAGGAAGAGGCGACATGATAGAAGTTTATAAAATGATGCCTGGCATTGAGAAAGTGGATAGAGAAACATTTTCCTCCCTCTCTGAGAACACTAGAACTTATGGGCATCCTATGAAGCTGAATGTTGGAAGATTTGACACTGATAAAATGAAGTATTTATTTGTTCAGCACAGAGTTGAGCTGTGGAACTCACTCCTGCAGGAGGCAGGGATGATCACTGACTTGGATAACTATAAAAGAGGGTTAGACAACTTCATGGAGGAGGGGGCTCTCAAAGGCTACTAGTCAGTGGCTCTGCTTCTGCTTCTGCAGTTGAAGGCAGCAATGCTTCTGAAAACCAGTTGCTGCAATCCACAGTTGGAGGAATCCTGTGCTCTGGTTCCCATTGGGGCACCTGGTTAGCCACTGTGAGAACAGGATGCTGGACTGGATAGGCCCCTTTGGCCTGATCCAGCAGACTCTTGTGTTTAGGGGAAATCCTTACAGGATTTGACAGCAGAATGGCTCAATGAAAAGAAGTCCCCTGCTGAGAACTCAATCTTCAGAGGAGTTAATCAAATATGGCCCATGCTAACCAAAATATTTTTCTCTAGGTTATTCCGCCTCCTCGCCTCCCTGTGATTTTAATTCCTTCCTATCCTTGAGATTGGCTGGGTTTCTCCTGGGTGTAATATTTTAAAAGAGCCCTCCAACTGCTCATAAATGCTTCCAAGTGAGGGGAAAGTGGAAACCATAGTGTCTGCCTTTGTTTTGTTTTTGTTTTATAAATTCATTCTCTGAGATTTTGGCTCAATCTGGATCCTTCAAACTTCAGTTAATGAAATAAGACAAAATGGTCAGATGTTTTGAAGGCAGGGGTGTGATTCCTGCATTGCCAGGGGTTGGACTGGATGACCTTTGAGGATCCCTTCCAACTCTACAATTCTGTTTCTGTGAAAGGAGATTCCGACTAAATATTAGGAAGAACTTTCTGGCAGTAAGAGCTGTTCGACAGTGGAATGGACTTCCTCGGGAGGTGATGGACTCTCCTTCTTTGGAAGTTTCCTTTAGCTGTGCTTCTTGTGTCACAGAGGGATGGGCTAGAAGACCCTTGTGTAGCCCCTTCCATTCCTATTATTCTGTGATATCTTGAATTCCTGAGCACTGGGCATCTGAACAGCATGTTTACAACACACTTGCATATTTTCAGAGGGTGGCATTAAAACAGGTTTTGCTCAGAGCTGACCTGTTGAAATTAACAGACCTAACTTTATCATGTCTGCTGATTTCTGCAGGTCTGTGCTGAGCTAATATTAGATTATGGTGAGTGCTGATTTATTAATTGCCTTCTAAACCACAGTCCTGAGGTGATTTGCATATAAGAAGCTAAAGAGGAGGTGGCATGAGAGCTATCTTCAAAATACCTGAAGAGTTGTCCCATGGAAGATGGAGCAAGATTGTTTTCTGCTGCTCCCCAGGGGAGGATCTGAACCAATGGATTCATATGACAAGAACTGAGATTCCAACTCAACATTAGGAAGAACTTTCTGATGGTAAGAGCTGACAGAGCTCTGAGGTCAACTGGGGCTGACCCACACTTCCTGTTGTCTCGCTGCTTTCCCTCAGGGAAACATGCAGTTGTGTGCTGAATTGGAACCTGTGGCAACTGGGTCTGCCACAGGTTGCCATTTGTTCTGATTCAGTGGGTTTGTTCTGATTCAGTGGGTTTTCTGGTGGGAGGGCAAAGGCGAAGAACCTGTTCAGACCTGCCTAGAAAGCACTGTCCAACAGAAAACCGCTCGGACTCATGCTTTGTAAGCAAGGGACATGCAGAAGGATGCGCAAGCCCCTGGCCACAGCCTTTCCTGCTATGGTAAGATATTCGTATTCATTTTTTGTAACCTTCCTTGGGTACACCTGGTGAAAGGTGAAAAGTACAAATTATAAATAATTGCTATATGGGTGAAATATACTGGTGGTAATTATATTGCAAGGCAAGTGTGCCAGGAGTCGCAGAAAATCCTCCTCTTTCTTTCTCCTTCCTCCTCCTCTCCCCGCCCCGGGTGGGTTACATCAATTTAAAATTCAGAATTAAAAACACTTTACAGTCATAGGGACTGGGTGGATCCCAAAAACATCTTAGGTACCAAAGGTCAGAGTCAAGAGCTCCATCTTCAACATCCCCTGAAGGTTGTGCAACAAAGGTGTCAGATGCACCTCTGTGGGGAGGGAGTTCCACAACTCTAGGGCCACAACAAAGAAGGTCCTTCCCTTTTGAGCACCCCCCCCCAACAACTTCTGAGGGTTTAGGAAGTACTAAGAGGGTCATAGCTCAGTAGCAGAGTATCTGCCTTGCAAGCAGAAGGTTCCAGGTTCAAATTCCACTGGGATCTGTAAGGAGGTTTGGAAGAAATTCCTGCCTGTAACCCTTGGGAGCCCTTGCTTGCCAGTCAGTGTAGACAATACTGAGATAGATGGACCAATGGCCTGACATGGTATAAGGCAACTTCCTATGTTTCTATTAAATCAGTGTTTTAGTTGCAACCAAGAGGACTAGAATCTTGCTTTATCTTTTGGGGAAAGACAATCCCTCAGTGGTAGAGCATGCGTCTTGCATGCAGAAGGCTCCAGTTTCAATCCTCTCCAACGATGGATATTCCACAAGCATACTGAGCAGCTTTCTCTGCCATCTTCAAGTCCACATTAGCAATGTTTCTCACTTTCTGGAAGAGCTAATTCGTCATAAAAATACCGAAATAAAACTTAGGAAGTATATTAAGACTGCTCGTCGCTACATCACCCCATCAGCATTAATTCCCAAATCATGTTGTCGCATATTTTACGATAAATTATTAAAGAAGGAACTGCATTGGGCCATCATTTGATAAACAGAGCCATAAGTTAACCATGCTCCTCCATAATGTTCATTGGGGAATGAGATTTATTTTCTCTTAGAAATTTTAATTATGGATCAACACCAACGGAGGGAGATAGGTTGACGTGGTCTCCGATTTTCACATCCCCTGACTAGGCTGCATCCACAGAGTGGGGAGCGAGCGAGCGAGAGAGAGAGAGAGATTGGAGGGAGCAAGAGAAGGAGTGAGGGAAGGGAAAGAGAAGGGGCGGGGGAGGGAGGAGAGAGACAGAGCGAAAGCCCCAAAGGGAGATATCCGCTGTTGCAGAAAGAAAGGACAGGGAGAGTCCTGTAGTTTCCTAAAGCATAAAAATAAAACTTTCCCATCTCTTTCACTCTTGGGTCCTGTCGCAGGGCTATAAAACCAGGAGCACACGGCATGCTCAATCGATTACGCCGCCTAATGCACTCTGGCTGGATACAGACGATTCATTGCGGGCTCCCTAAGTCTATGTGGGGAAGGGAGGAGGAGCCATTCCCCTCCCTCAATTTCATTTTAATGGCTCCTTTCTGTCTCTGTTAACCTCCCCCCCCCCCGCCTCCCTGGGCCAAAAAGTCCCCAGTCGCCCGACCCTTCCTAGCGAGAAAGATACTGCAGTTCCCACAGTGAAACTGAAGGCAGGTAATGACTTTCGCACCCCATCCATATCACGGCAGTGACCACAGCTGACGTCTCCCCAGCTGGGTCCCCATTATTTAAGTGGTTGTTGGGAGGGGAGGCTGGTTGCCTGTGCTTTCTAGGAAAGGAAGGAAGACAATACTTGCGCGCGCTCTCTCTGTCTCTGTATTAGGTTTCCTAATTTTCATTTATATATTGATCCTGCATTGCAGTGGGTTGGGGTAGATGACCCTTAGGTGCGCTTTCCAACACTACAATTATATGATTCTAATAATAATAGCAACACCAACAACTTTCCTTCATTGGAGAGCACCCCCATGGGAGGGGGGATCCCAGGAATACCTGAAGAGGAACTTTGCTGAAGCCCTAGCTCAGTAGATTCCAGAACACCTGCCCCTCTGCCCAAGCTGAATCGTGCCATCTATTAATTAATTAACTTAATTTGTATACTGCCCTTCATCCGTACATCTCAGGGCAGTTCACAACATAAAAATATGGCAACATCCACCTGCCCTCTCCAGCAGTCTGCTGGGTTCCAGCGTGTGTGTCCAGTGTGTTGAGACAGAAAAGGGACCCTGCTGCTCCACAGTCTCCCTTCCGGTGTGGGCGCACCAGGTGCAGAGATTCTGGAGTGATAGAGGGGGCTCTGTCACTATTTCTGCAATAGAAGGTAAGAAGCGGGGGGCGAGGAGAAGTGGGCACCAGTTTTTGGTATGGCACAGAGCACCACAGAAATTTGAGAGACCAAGGTCTGCCACTGCTGGGGTAGTCTCAGTGGTTGGTGCTGGAGTACTCCCGACTTGTTGTGCTGTGGGATGCCAGCATTCATGGGGAGTTTCCTTTTTAAAAAAAAAATAAAAAATGATATTTATTGAGAATTTAAAATTACAGAGAAAGAAAGAAAAAGAAAACAAGAGAAAAAGAAAAAGGTAGACAAAAATAACAATTGAACAATACAAGTCGATAAAAACCAAAGTCAAAGAAACAAAACAAAACAAAACAAAACAAAACAAAACAAAACACACAATACATCAAAATCAAAAAACAAAAATAAACAAAAATTTAAAAACAAATCCAATATTCCCAAATCCTTATCTTCCATTAACTTATTTCATTGACCTCCTCACACCTCCCTTTTTTGTATTCTAGTTATTAATTATTTCAGCAAATCCTTTCCATCTTTCACAATATTCTGTCATTAAATTACCTTAATCTATTTTAACCTTATCTTACCATAAAAACCCTAAAGCTTAAAACTTAAGTCTTATTTATACCTAATTCTTTTAAGCATAACATATTCTTACATAATTCTTTTTAACATTTCTACTAAAGCCAAATAATTTCATTCCAACATTTTTCTAGTACTCATTAATTTTACAATAATTTTCTAAATAAATTTTTAAAACTTTCTTCCAATCTTCATCCATCGTCTCTTCTTCCTGGTCTCGGGTTTTGTCAGTCCTTTCTATCCCATCCATCTAGTCCATCAACCTGGTGACCTTCTATCCGAGGCTCTTAAGTCTTTTCCATGTCCCTTCCGCAGGTCTTCTTCATGTTTGTAGCTGTACTTTACTTTGTCTTCTGCTGATCTTATTCTTAATTTCCTTCCTTTCTCTCGGGGAGACTCCAACTTGACAATATCTTTGTCCCTTCTCGACAAGTCAGCCCATTCTCCGTAGTCGACACTGAAATCCATATGATATTTAGAGGCATGTTTCAAAGTCCCTCCAAAGTTAAGGGCCCCACAACTCCCAACTCCCCCTGGCCCAAAGCCAAATTCGAAAGGTCAAAACATCCCTGCATAGGGGGATCTATCCAGCTTCCCATCTCCAAGCCAAACAGAACTCCATTTCTCCAAATCTGGCTTTCTCCAGATTCATTCGTCAGATCCAACAACAAATGTTCCTGCAGGGCCGCAGCTCTCTCCATTTCTGCTACTTGAGGTTCAGGAACAACCTCCTCCTTTATCTTCTTCACCACTTGATCTGTCAAAGCACATTCCTGGATTAATTCCTGAGTGGGTTCTATATAGGTATTCACTGTTTGTCCAAAATTTCCGACTGCAACAGTCATCAAATCCATCTTCTCATGTAGCTGTTCCAGTAAAGCACTTGTCTTGCAAAGAGCAAGCACTAACGCTTGTTCTAGGCACATTCTTGTTCAAGGTCAAAGTCTGGTCCCACAATCTTTAATCTCTACAGCTGCAAAGCTCCCCAGATCGACTCTAATAACAGTTTCACAAGCTCCCTCTAAGGGAAACAATTTCTATTTGTATCCGTCTTTTTAAAAGCAGATCTAGCAACAAAGTTCATTTCCTTTTTCATATATTTTGTTTCTTTTAAATGCAAGAGGGAACATTGGAATCAATATGTTTCTCTTTTTTAACTATCTTTCAAAAACGTTTGTCCACAGTCAATAAACTTCCCCAAAGCGTCCGTCCTGACACCCCGCTCTCAGGTTCAAGACGGTGGAAATTTATCTTTCTTTACTCTCTCTTCTGCAGGTTTAAACAGTCTAAAAAGATTCCCCCCTCTTCTCCTGCTTCCAAGGGGGTTTAGTAATTTTAAATGATGGGAATTTAATCCTTTCCAGATGACTTTCCAGACTCTAGCTTGCAATGTCTTTGCTTCAATCTATTTACAAAAGCGGAAGGCGGACTTCCTGTTTAGACCTTCCCGCTTCGGTGCCAAATTAAGAAATTTCATAGTCCAATTTTCCGTTCTACTCACAAGCAGTTGTTTAAAATCCAATTGTCCACAGGAAAAAGTCAGCGCTCTCCGGCAACAGCAATGCGGCTTCACTCCGTGAAAAGAGCAGTTGATTCGAAGCACCGCGCCATTCACCCCACGTTGCTCCGGATCCCCGAAACCGGGTTTCCCCGCGAGTAGGGGAGGCGCGAAAGGTGCCAGCCGAATCCCACGTCCACAGGCTTCTCCCGCCTGTGGTTTTTAATTTTTTTTTAAAAATGATATTTATTAAAAGTTTATGAATTACAGAAAAATGAAAAAAGAAAACAGCAAAAAAATTGACAAAACATACATTACAATACATAAAAAGAAAAGCATAAAAAACAATACAACAATACAGCAAAAAAAGAAAAAAAATAACATTAAAACACACATCCAATGTTCCATATCTTTATCTTTCATTTACTTGTTTCATCGACCTCCTTACACCTCCCTTTTTGTATTCTAATTTAATTAATTGTTTCAGCAAATTCTTTCCATCTTTCTCAATTTTTTAATATAATTTATCTTAACAATCTAACCTTTTAATTAACTCAACAAATCCTTACCATCTTTCACTATATTCTGTCATTCAATTTATCTTAATTTATTTAACCTTATCTTACCATTAAAAAAAAAACCTTAAACCTTAAAACTTAATACTTATTTGTACATAACTCCTTATATCATTTCTACTAAGGCCAAATAGTTTTCATTCCAACAATTTTCCTAATACTCGTTAATTTTACACTAATTCTCAAAATAAATTTTTTAAAAACTTTCTTCCAATCTTCATCCAACGTCTCTTCTTCCTGGTCTTCCGGGTTAGCGCCATCGGCAATGGCGGAGTTCCTCTGACCGAGAGGAACCTGCTTGGTGAAAATCAGGTCTTGCCGCCGCGGTGAAGGCGGAGACCCTCTAAAAATCCCAGGCGGAGGAAGCCTGGGAACGTGGGATTCGGCTGACACCAGGAGCGCCTCCCCTACTCGCAGGGAAACCCTTTTTTCGGGGATCCGAAGCGACGTGGGGTGAGTGGCGCGGTGTTTTGAATCAACCGCTACTTTTACAGAGTGAAGCCGCACAGCCGTTGCCGGAGAGCGCTGACTTTTTCCTGTGGAGAATTGGACTCTAAACAAG